AACCTCTAAAATCATACTCGGCTCTCTTCTCAAATGCTAAACTCGTCATTTAGTTAATTAGGGAAAATATCCTCCCTTTCGATAATTTAAACTTAATGTTGACCCTTTAAAAGGTAATCTAGTCATTCATTAACCCCAGCTGGAATAATTTGGGATTGTCACGAAAATTGTATTGATATGTTATATTTATACAACAAATATATAAATAACTCATATAATAAGAGAGAGAGAGAGAGAGATGTGGAATAAAATGGATGATGTGATGGAGAAATATAAAGAAAGGAGTTTATATAAGTTATTATATATAAATTTGTAGAATGAAAATGATATCTTAATATTATTGCAAGGTGAACGGGTCGCATAAGAAATATTGCAAGCACCAATATGGCTAAGATCTGCTTACTTTCAAACTGGTTTGGTAGCTGTCCCTAATCAAGTTAATTGATGACTGAGAACTGTTCCAAACTTTTACATCATGTGAAGTAGATTTTTTATTTTTCGGATAATCAATTTTTGTTGTAAACCAAATTAGTAAGATTGCTTCAGATAGCCATCAAGCAATGATCTTCATTCTTCTCTTTTCCGTTTTGATACTTTGCTTTCTAGCATATTTAGTTTAACCTTCAAAAACTTCAGAAAGTAAGGGAACTGGAGCAGGCTACCATGAGACAAAAGATCTTCTTTCTAAAGAAATTCTATTCGGAACTATAACACTTTTTGGCAAAATCTTGGTTCTTGAGTTTTCAAAAATTAAGCAAACATTGTAAGTACTGATGATATAAACGATGCAAGACTGAATTTGTTCTATGAATGAATGTCAGGAATTTATCAAATTAAAACTTAATGCAAATACAAAGAAATAATATGAACAAAATCAACCTAAGGAGAAATATTGGCTTAATTCAGTGTCCCCATATTAAGTCTCCGTAATTGTTCGTGATTTTTTTTCAATTCTATCATTTTCTTTAGTATAAATTCTGTAATGTTTTTGCTTGAGGAAATTAACCCAAAATTTAATTTAATAGCCTTAACCTTGGTACTAAGTGCCATTGGGTTTTCCAAAGGCACCGCAATAATGCCCCTTTTCTATGTACCCTTTACTCAAAATAGAGTAATCTAATCGAAGGAAGAGCCCATATGCTACCTGCACTTCTCAATCAAATGCTTGTATAGATGAGGTATACCTATTCCTGAAACTATAACTAGAGTATATAAGCAAGTACAAGCACTAAGATGATAGAGTACAAATGATTCTATCGATATGAAGCACCCCTTCAAAATGTTCTCCACCTAAGCACTAGCTAGTTTGATTCGAAGCATCCTTCTATAACTGATATGTCTTCCTTGACTTTTCTAGCTTTTGAATGATTACAGTTCAGAATACGTCTTTCTAACTTTACATATGAATTGCGAGCAAAGATTTTGGTTAGGTTGCTCCTTTATTTTCTAACTCTTGCTAACCTCAAGTAATTGCTCAAACTAGTTGATTTTATTATTATTGTGATGGTGGTTGTTCTTGTAGGAAACAACCCCAACAATTAAGTACGATAAATCTATTAGAGACATGTTTTAAATATTTTCTATTCACCCCCATCCATTTAACCAAGATAAAGGGCGTGAAATTCATGTAGCTGACCACATGTAAAATATGTCCAATTACTAAACACATTTATCAAATATATATAACTTATCAATCAGCCCAAATTGTTCAAACAATCAAGAAATTCATGGAGAAAAAATTATAATATAATTCTTAACATGACAAGTGATAAAGAAATACTATAATGAGATCAGTGTTAAAATAATCGAAACAGTTGAAGTTGATGAGTCTATGACTGAGTACTTTGTGTGATTGATGAAAGAGACACAAAACAGAAAGAGAAAACTCCTCTTATCACCCTTTCAGATCTTTCACGTAAGCTGTCTCAATGGAGCAACAATTACTCTAAAATGGTTAGAAACAGGGGCCTCTCTGGTTAATAATCAAATGAGTCAAACCTACCCACTATGGCTTAGCCCAATAACAATAATTATTTATAATATGGGCTAAATAATATAATTCAATAATTTTGACATTTAATTAATCTGGATTTAAACAAAATTTTACGGCATGAATTAATTTATGTTAGTCCACTCATAAAATATCTAACAATTCAAACATATTGTCACATGCTTAAATAATTAAAATCTCGTATTTAAAACTAAAGTATATTTATTAGTTAGTTAAATAAAGTTCTGCAATGCAAAGCAGTGATTAGTTCATATCCATGATTATTCTATGATTGTATTTAACAAACCATGTCTGCTATCTTATAATTTATTTAACTAACTAATAAATTTATTTGACCAAAATAAAGCTTTTTGATAGATGAATTTATCTCACCAACTTACAATATCTTTTCATATGCTATTTGAGGTACCGTATCAACTTATAGCTTATGGATTATTATCATTATTTCCATTTTTCATTTAATATTTTAATGAAATCTATCATTTAACAATATATTATTTATTTAATTATTACACTACTTGTTTAATAATTTAATAACACATTTGGTCTCTAAGTAAAAATGATAAGATTCGAAATTAACTAAAAAATTTATACTATAATTACTTCAAGAAAATATTTTTATCTATACAGTAAAAAGTTATATAAAAATCATATAAACGTGTTCTTTTGTGTTATTTTACATTCATTATTTATTTTATTAAACACTTCTAACAAGATAATTTTATAACTTTCAAATTTTAATTTCAGTTAACAATCACTTTTTTAAAAATATAACTTAGATGCTCACCAAGATCTTAATTTGTCTGGGGAGAACTTTTAGAAAGGTGTGTATGTGTACGATGATGTTCAGAGCTAAAAAAAAATAAACATCGATACTGACAAGTTGTTTGTTTTTGGACAGGGTTGAACAGTTGAAATAACCTGATTAAGCATTTACTAAAAAATGTGGAAGGGCATGATAATTTCGTACCAAATATACAATGTTTAAACGGTATTGTCTGTGTGATCTTGCAGAGAAGTATTTAACTAATCATATAAACCTCCGATTAATGAAACTTAAGAAGGATTAAATAAATGCTCAAGGTATCAACATGTGTGGGTTCATGTGAACACCTTTTTGGTTGATGGGTAGGGGAAGATGCGATCATGATTCATGTGACACCTTTTTGTTTGTTTTACCGATTTATGTGTAACTTTGTGAATATAAAGGACAAAGTTTTTGATCATTGGGAGGGGGTGTCCCCGTCCAAAGCCCAAGCAAGGTTCACTGAATGGAATAACTCGAAGCTGAGTTTTTACGGTACGCGAATAGATTCCCAAGCCACCATATTGTGCTTCGAGTTTTTCGTCGGCAACCACTTTCAGTGTTTCAAATTTCCTACTTCCTAGAGAACTTTAAGAAATAAAATAGAAAATGAAATGACATTTCCATAGGTACAATTAGTGATCATAGACATCAACCTAACCAACAATCTCGATTTCAAAAGCTTGTAATTTTGTACCCAAATTCTATAAATTTTGATTGAAATAAAATATACAAAAATAAAATAACTCTTCTTTTTGTAATTAAAATTGGACTTTGTATGACACTTTTTAAAACGGTTAAATAAAAAATTATTAAAAAAATAAATTACTTAAATTAATTTTAACTTGTGAAATAATTAATTTTTCTACAATAAATATATACTTACTAAAAATGATTTATATTGCACCATAAATCTTATGTAGCACCTTAAAATAAATCAAAGTTGAGATACGCAGTTAGTTTGTATGTGGCGTATTGCCAAAATCAATTGCTCGTAGATGAATCCAATTCATAATGTGCGATGAAAATTAATGTAGGTTTATATTTTAATTATATTTAACAATATTAAATTAATTTTATTAAAACTAATTCTAATAAAATCTAAAATTAATAAATATTAAGTAATGATTTGATTTAAAAAAAAAAATCAAAGTTAGAGACTACAGAAATACCCACAGGTTAAAGGGTTCAAGATAAATAATGCTCTTTTGTGTTACAGCTAATTCAAAGAATTTTGGCAATAAATAGATTAAATTGACTACACATTTGAATATCATTAAATCTTATAAATCTTTTGGATTAGATATATTTAAAATTTAATAAAATTAATTTTAAATAATTATATATATATATGAGAAAGTGTTTCTTTTGTTAAAAAAAATACAAAAAATAGTTGAGTTGGAGATATCTTCCCAGAGGCATAGCTAGTAATTAACTTCCTCTCATATTAAACTCGTGCACAATCTTTTTCATTTTATAATAAATATTAATAATTATTTTAAAGATTTTAATAAAAAATACAATAATATACTTCTTCAATAATTTTAATATACTTTTTACTTAATTTTAAACAAAATCTTTTTATTTGAAATTTGTTCATAATCTTTTTTTTATTTTTTTACTCCTTTTATTTCTTGCAACACTTTAGTTGGGTCATGGAATATAATGGACCTCAACCTCGCAAATTAATCAACTAATGCTAAAACTAGGAAGGGCGACAAATATATACAGAAATATGAGTCCTTTGAAATTTAATTTTAAAATACATTTGAAAAGTATTTATCTCGCCTGATTATTATAATCAGCTATGAATGTTATGAATGTTATCTTTATAAATTTTTTAAAAAAAAAAAAAAAAACTCGCCGAAAAAATTAATATGCTATGAATGTTATCAATTCAACCTAAATAAATCTTAAGTTCCGTTTAAAAGGTTGACCAAAAAGAAAATAAGTTCCGTCTATGACTCAAGTTCTTTTCATTTTACTTAAATAAATTATTAAAATATAATTTATAAAAAAAATCTTCTATTCTTTTTAAACAATGAAATTATAAACGCAGTCGCATCCCTATTAGATAAAAGTGAACACAAGCCCATTCGGTGATGATTCACAGAAGAATCAGTTGAACAGCAACATACACTGAATCATTTGAAACAAACTAACACATTCAAAATAATTCTGAAATACAAATATATTCATAATTGAGACAAATAGAATTGAATTACATCAATAATAATATACTTCCACGAACACCTAAACATAAACACTACCTGAACCGAGTCATTCTCCCTGGCCAAGCAAGAAAAAAAACCAGCTGACCAAAGGTGAAGAGATTTACAACACATTGACATAATAGTCAACATGCAAATTCAAATAATAATAATAATAATTAAAAAAAAGAACCTAAACATAAACCCAATTATCCAAATCCTACAAGTAGCACTGCAATTTTCAAAAAATCAATTGCAGCAGCCACAAGACAGAAAAACACTAGCACCTACCACTATACTAAATTATTATTACTCACGACACTACTAATCACGAATTACATACATAACATAAAACTCTACCAAACTTGTCTTCACAGAGAATCCCAATCGATCTCATAAGAAGGGAACTTCTGCAGGTTAAAAGGTTCAGAAGCAGCTTCCCATTGTGGCTCAGTGACGTCAAAGGTAAGATCAGAAAGAGGTGAAGAACCAGCGGAACCCTCACTCTCAGTCATCACAGGAGACAAAGAAGCTGAAGCTGAAGGTTCAACCTTCTCCAACTGAACCTCTTTCGAATTCACCTTTGTTGACTTTTTGGTTGACCGCACACCCTTCTCTGGCTTCCCTTGTTTCTGCATTTCAGCTAAGTTTTGGCATATAGCATCAAGCTTAGCATCAACCGAGGTTTGCAAAGTCTTAAACTCCCCAAAACCTTGGTGCCTGAGGTTGGGAAAGTTGAGCCTTGCAAAGTCACCTCTGAGTCTGTACGCGGCTTTGTCATAAGCCAAAGCAGCTTCTTCAGCAGTGTCGAAGGTTCCAAGCCAAAGCCTTGTGCGGTTTTTCGGGAGTCTTATCTCAGCAACCCATTTCCCCCAATGCCTTTGCCTTACCCCTCTATATAGCTTGGTGGGCTTGGGAGGTGCACCCACTTGCTTCATGGGGACAGGTTTGGGGCTCAGGAAGCTGAGGTTGGTTGGGCTATTTTGCTGGATCTGGGCCTCCATCTGGGCCTGGATCTGGGTAATCTGAGATGGGCTTAGGTTGTTGAGCCCAAGGACAGAACTCGGTTGCTCAAAGCCTATCAGGTTTTGGCTTTCTGATGACCCGGTTGAAAATAGGTAGGGCATCATTGAGGAGCAACTGTCTGCGTAGAAATTGGGCTGTGTAGGTGAGGAATTGAAGAATGAAGGGTAAGAAGGGTAAGAATACGAAGTAGAAAGAGAGGGAGATGGAGAAGTAGAAGGTAGGTATGAAGAATTTGAAGAAGGGAATGAGGATGAAGAGGGAGTTGTGGAAGGACTCTTCATAAAAGGTTCTAGAACTTCCATAAGCTCACCTCTGAAAGGATCTGACTGAAGTTGTGGACTGTTGTAGAAATCCATTGCAGCTGCCATAAATAGTTAGCAACTTGACAAAAATTAAAAATTAAAAACTGGAAAAACAGCAAACCCAACAAAGAAAAATCAAGTCTTTTTAACAGAAGAAAGAAAGGGTATAAGAGGTTTAAAATACACAACCCCTTTAATCCCAGAAAATTGGGAAAATTAAAAAGCAAAGCTTTGAGGGAACAAAAACAACCCTCTTGGCCGAATGAAAGGTGAAATAGAGCAAATTAAAAAAATAATAACAAAAATTATGTTTTTAAAAGTAAACAAAAAAAAAACCTGGATCTCGATTCTGAAAACACCTGGCTTTCGAGAAACCTTTGAAGTTTGATTCTTTGTAAGATTAGAGACAAACTCAAAAAATCATAACTTGAAAGACAGATGATTAACAGAAAGGGATTCAGAGAAGCGGGGTGTTACAGAGAGGGGGAAAGGATTGAAGAAAAGAAGAAAGCGAGTGAGAACCACACAAATCTGAACGCTCTTCTCTCAGAAAAGTTTGTGTTTGGTGAGAATCTTTCGGTCACTCTTGGTTTTCTATCTCTAACTCAACTCCATTATATAGCAGCCGGCCACCTTGATTATCACTGTTAATTGCGAAATTAATTCAAATTAGTGATCGCAGTAACCATGGGTTAGTTTCCTTTAACCCTTGTAATGACGCAAGTCAGCTACACATGATTAAGGTACGAAGCAATGGAAGAAGGACACGCGTCCCTTAAATGTCAAGCAGACGACACGTGCCCTCAGGTATCGGGGTCTTTAACGTCGCAGTGAAGTCTGTTTGACCATGTCTTTGCGCGTTCACACCTCTGCATTCAATTCCAAGGCACTTTTTCTTTTCTTTTTTTTTTCTTTAACATTTTCCATGAGTTTTTGTACTTAATTTTGTAATGTTAACGGATGATAAGAATCTTAAAATAATACAAATTTATTAAAACTATAAAAGTGTTGCAAAGATATAATTTTTAATTATTTTTTTAAGTGTTTAAATTTAATTTAAAGGACTGAGATTAATATTTTTAAAATTATTTATAAAAATAAGATACATAATATCTACAAAATAATACTTCTTTCAATTCTTTCAATAAAGAATAATAATTAATCAAAAAAATAGTTATAGTAATAATTTTTTAAATTAATGATTCATAAATGAATTAATATATTTATTTATATAAATAATAAATAATATTTCCATAACACAAATCACGCAATAAACAAATAATAATATAGAGTGTATATATTTAGATAACTGCTTTACTATGTATTTATTTAACAAGATCTTTTTAAAAATATGAGTTATGATGATAAATTAAAAATAACATGCAAGTTGTAAGTTATTTTTTATAAGTTCTTTTAAATAAAATCAAAAAACTTTAACAACTAATGTATTCAAATATAAATTTATTTCTTTTTGATAAATAGGACCAAAGAGAATATTTATATAAAAAATGTATATAACTTTTTATAATTTTAAAAAATAAAATTGATAAAAAAAACTAGTGTGATAGAGTGTTAGAAAAAACTTATTATTAAAAAAATATTATTAAAATTATTGTAAAAATACCATAACTCTTTATTTAATGAGTTTGGTTACGAGCATAGATAAATTATTGTAAGAATTGACGAGTAAAAGTATGAATAAAAATATTGTAATATTGATATTTATTTATTTAAATTAATATACACAAACACACATAAAATTAAACTAAAATTTTAAATTATAATTTTATTATAATATATATATATATATATATTGTAATAATTTGGTATTTTATTTTAATTAAGTAAATAATTTTATTTGTAATTTTTGTAAAAATAAAATTATGAGGGAAAATAATTACATGAAAAGGGGAAAATGTTAAATTAAAAATATATTCACATGTGTTATGTGATCTTTAATAAAATTTAATTAATAATTAAGAATATATTAATTATTAAAAAGTATAATCTTAGTATTTTTCATATACTGGTATTATGCTTAGACACTACTCATTGTGATCTCTACGTAAATATGAAAGTAACTTTGTCCTTTTTTTAATGATTTTTATAATTAATTTGAAAATTATCAAAAAATCACTAAAATATATTATTATAATAAAGATATTAAAATATAATAAATAATTTATTTTAATATATATATTGTTACTAGTTGTTGAAACTCATCACTATAAATTAACATTAACATTTTCGTTTTTCTAAGTCATATGTTTTATTAAAAAGAAAAAATAAAAATAAATATTAATTGTTTCCTTCTTTTTTTATAATTAATATTAACTGTTTCCTTCTTTATATTTTCTAAACTATAATTGTAAATTTATTTAAAAATATAAATAATATAATGTTATCTCGTTGATACTATATTTTAATTAAATTATAAAAGCTAACTCAGATATTATATTGTGCGAGCAAATATCAAAATAAACTAAATAGATCATTATTTAAGCGACTAAATAAAAAAAATTAAAAGACTAAATTAAAATAAAAATTAAATAAAAAATTATAATTTTTAAATGATTAAAACTTTATTTAAGTCTAAATTTATTAAATAAAAATACGTTAATGAATATAAAGTTATATTCAAATTAATCGTGGGAATAAAAAAGGTAGCCTTTTACTCAATTTATTTAAGAAAAGTTTTAAAATATGCGTTGTTAAGTGTATTTTAAAAAACGTAAATAAAATAATATGTCAATATATGCCAGCTATATTCCAAGTCAAGTCAAAATAATGAACAATACGAATCTTTATATGTTGAAATTTAAAATATTATGAAACGAGCAGGGCGTTGTACCAAAGGCTTAAGTGGATAGCCGTTTTATTTTTGGTCTTGATAGATAGCAGGTTTAATATTTTAGTTATCAATTTTAATATATTAATTGTAATATTTAATTTTTAAATTAATTTTTTTTATAATTAGTTTTTCAAAATAGAATATCTTTAAGAGTATTGTTAAAATTAAGTAATTTTAAAAATTAGTTTTATTATGTCAATAAATTTTTATACTATGAATTTACTATTAATTTAATTGTTAATTTTCATATTTATTTAAATAATAGATTTTTTATTATTAATAATTATAATATTTTATATTTTTTAATTTATAAATTAAGTAAACTTTTAAAATATAGAATATATTTTTTATAAGTTATTTTAAAACTAATTTAAAATTTAATCATGCGTATTTATTACACGGAAAAAACTTTTAGTTGAATATAATTATAAGGTTGTCTTTTGAGTTTCTTTCTTTCTGGACATTTTGTTGATTAACTTTTGGGCCTAATTTATGAGGAAAAATAAAATAAAATAAAATAATGTAATTAGAAAATTTTATAGAACACCAAAATATTTAATAATTTGTTTGACATTTGACCTTGGTACTTTAACAAGGGCAACGTATTTAACACTTTTTTTATCCACTGAAATCGTTGAGTACTTCAATTTTTTTAAATATTATATTTAAGACAACTCAATCAATGTCTAGACTTCAACGAGGATTTTAAGACAATTTTTAAAATAATTTAAAATGAATGATTAAAATTAGAATTATTTTATTTAAAATTTATATTTTTGATATTTTAAGATGTAAATTTATTTATTAAATTAATTTAATTAATTCTATTTAATATTTTGTAATTGATGATAATGCTTAAGTAATATTTTTATTAATTTAAATTTAAAAAAATTCACATGTTTAAATAATAAGAACTATTGACAATAGCTTCAATATTTCTTTTGTATATTTATATTTTATTAAAAGAAATAATTTCTCCAATTTTTATATTTTTATTACAATTTTTGTGAGCTTTTTTTTATTGACATGACTTTATAAAAATTTATATGTAACAATATTTTTAGTTTGACATTTTGTTATTTAATAATCATGAGAGACTATCAAATAGAAACTATATTATGTTGGAAAAATTATCATCAAATGCTAAATTCAAGTGAATCTGAGACTAAAAGTAATAAATTTATAAAAATTAGATGCTTAAATAATAAATAATATAAAAATATATTTAAATATTATTAAACATATTAATCAATGGGTAGAATATTATTTTTATTTAATTTATGATTCTATTGTATAATAAATAAATAACATTCATGACAATTATTGTGCTTCTGAATTTGATTTATTTCAATAATTAAGTATTAAATAATAAAATATACAGTTTAATTAGAAATAATAAAAGTCAACTTATACGATGAATAAATAGTTGTTAATTTTATTTTTTACAAAAATAGTTGTTAGTTAAATAGAATAAGATGACAAATTATTTTTAAGTTATATATAAAATAATAATTTTAAAATTTTTTTGAAATACCTTTTAGTTTAAATAAAAAATTTAAATTACAATAAAAATAAAAATATTAATAACATTAAATATTCATTTCTTAACTTATTATGCGTTAAGGTCTAAAAGATAAATCTATTTTATGATAGAACCGAAGTTAAACAACTTTGACAAAATTTTATTAGAAAAGAAATGCATTTGTTACACTGAAAAATAATTGTGCAACCAATGTAATTTTTTAAATAAAAAGTTACTTTATTCATATGTTGAAAATCAATTTTAAGTGATGAGGTTAGTAAAGTTATATTTTAATATAAATAAAATATTATTTATAATAACAAAATATTTATTAATAACTGAGTTACTGATGGTGTGACAACGCGCTAGGAGAGGCGTTTCTTAAAAAGGGGTAGAATAAAGACTGAGAAAGGAAAGAAGGGGCACAGTTGCAGCTAGAATTACGCGTTGTGAATGCAGAATATGCGTAGAGTAACTGAGAGCAGGTGAGGATCATTAACAAGTTTGATGAGTTGATCACACTAACAGTTGTGTTGACATATTGGGTATGAGTGTACTTGCTGCTTCCTCACGTCAGCATTGCATATCCCAACCCTACCAAGGGAAGCAACTGCGAAGGAGCCATCCAATATTTTCAACTCTCCAATGGACTGTTCTGACCACCCACTTTCAATAAATATTTTTTAATAAATTATTTATCAAATTTATTTTATTAATTTTATATTTTTAATCAATTTTCATTACAATATATATGTAAGTAATTTTGCATACTGAAATGAAACGTCGTTGTTATTTTAATAAAAAATAATTTATATTATTTTGAGTTTAATTTAAATATACTGATGATATGATAACTTTTATATTATTAATATCTTTTATTATGATATGTGTTTAAAAGTATATGTTCAAAAATTTAAATTATTTATTAAATACTTTAAATTATTAGAAAAATATGTATTAAACATTATTTTATGATTTGAGACATTAAATTTTTTTAATAGAAAATTAACTTTAAATTTTTAAATATATATTTTTGTACATGTATTGAAATTATAATTTTTATATTTTTATTTATTATAAAATTTATATTAACAAGATAGACTCATTTATATAAATTTATTTATTTAATAAATGAGTTATTAATTTATTAATATTAATAAAATATTTATTTAATTTTGATAAAAAAAAAAATGAAAGTGAG